CAATGTTCAAACCACGATGCTGTGCTGACGCCTGAGCACACTTCCCAAAAACTAAATCCATTGATGGGATATTATGTGAAAAGCTGGAGGAAGTTTGTTTTCTGTCACAATGGAAGGTAGGTTCTGATGGAAACTAAGCCATGGTGTATTGTCGAAGGCTTTCATGGCTGGAATCACTAGGTTGTTGTAGGTTTTTTGGGCTGTATGGCCATGTTCTGGAAGCATTCTCTCTTGACGTTTCACCTGCATCTATGGCAGGCATCCTCAGGGGGTTTATTTTTTTATTTATTGTGTCAGGAGCAACCAGGCAAAACAAACAAACAGGCAGTTGTATTACATTTTTAACAAAACAAACAAACATACAAAACACAAAGTTTGCAAGCTTGGTAGTTGATTATATGTCCTTTGACCAGTATCTGGCCACTTGGAGTGCCTCTGGTGTTGCCGCAAGGAGGTCCTCCATTGTGCATGTAGCAGGGCTCAGGTTGCATTGCAGCAGGTGGTCAGTGGTTTGCTCTTCTCAGAGGGTGAAGGGTGGAATATAAATAAAGTGTATTATTATTATTATTATTATTATTATTATTATTATTATTATTATATTAATATACCATTCTGCCCCTCTACACTACTGTCAATTATCTTCCTGGAGATTCATATCATCCACAGGTGTATATGGGACCTCTAAGCGTAGCCCCCCAAAAGGACATGTGTGCAGAAATAGAAAGAAACGAATGAAAGCCAAGGACCTTATCAAGTGATGTTGGAAACTGGCCAAGCTTAATTATTTTTTAAATGAAACCAATTGATTTCTGTTGGAGTTTAAGCCTTAACCTTTCTACATAATTAAGATATGAATTAATTGGGACACACTGCTAAAGAGCCAAGACATTTTATCTTACTCTGTTCTTTAGCCAAAGCTACGTTCTCTTTGCAATACGCATTCCTCTTTCTTGTCTTCCTCTTCTTTTAAGAGTCCTACAAAATTCTAGTTGCAAGTAGTGAATCATAGAATCATAGAAGCAAAGAGTTGGAAGAGACCTAATGGGCCATCCAGTCCAACCCCTTTCTGCCAAGAAGCTGGAATGTTGCATTCAAATCACCCCTGACAGATGGCCATCCAGCCTCTGTTTAAAAGCTTCCAAAGAAGGAGCCTCCACCACACTCCGTGGCAGAGAGTTCCACTGCTGAACAGCTCTCACAGTCAGGAAGTTCTTCCTCGTGTTCAGATGGAATCTCCTCTCTTGTAGTGAAGGCAGATTAGAAGCCGGAGGGGGAAAGATCCATTTTGCATCCAAATGTTTCTTTTGTTTTTTAACACTACATTTAAACTCTTCAATTCTAAAATCTTTATCCTTGAGACCATAGTTCAAATCTACAGGAGACTATCGGAAATGGAAAAAAGCCAGTAGAACAACTAGACCCCACAGTATTTTTTATTTATTTTTATTTTTGCCATCACCACATCCATACACACATAGCCTTAGATCAGTGGTTCTCAACCTGTGGGTCCCCAGGTGTTTTGGCCTACAACTCCTAGAACTCCCAGCCAGTTTCCCAACTGTTAGGATTTCTGGGAGTTGAAGGCCAAAACATCTGGGGTCGCACAGGTTGAGAACCACTGCCCTAGATCAAGGAGTCATAGTACCATACTTTTCTATTCTGCTTTGGACAGACATTTTTATTTATATAGATTAACATGGCTATGTGTGTATCTACACTGTAGAGTTAATGCAGTTTGACACCATTTTAACCTGCCATGACTTAATGCTATGGAATCATGGACAATGTAATTTTGCAAGGACCTTAGTCTTCTATGCCCAGAAGTGCTGATGCCTCACCAAACTACAAATCCCAGGATTCCATAGCATTGAGCCAAGGCAGTTAAAGTGATGACAAACTGCACCAATTCTTCAACGTAGATGCACCCATAGACTGTTGCATGGCCCCTGACATATTACAGTGAAGAGTCCAACTTTGGCTTTAAACAAAATCAACTCCAAACTAGATTTCCCTTTCTCTTTCCAATTATCTAGCCCACCCTTCTTCCAACCTCATCCCACATGCAATTTTCATTTGCTTGGGAAAGAGAGCAATCCACACACAGTAAATTCACAGTGGGATGACATTAAACTGGTGAAGCATGAACAGAGTTTTCATGTGGGTGAATAACCTGTGCTAAAGGATGTTGCTTGCAGACAAAAATTTCATTACGGCATTATGCAGCGGTGCTCAAACGATCATTCCTGGCTTACCAGATAGTCTTCTAACAATCATTTACATCAGAAATGCAGAGAAGGTGCACCAGAGTATAAAAGTGCTGCGGAAATTAAAATGTCAGACATTGGAGTTCACAAAAGGGGTGAGAAACGAGTCGGCCCCACATTTTAACATAAGGTGACCCAAAGGTCTTGCTTATGGAAGACTGAGGGTGCATCTACACTGTAGAATGAATGCAGCTTGACCCCACTTTAACTGACATGTGGCTTTTTTTTTGTCGTGTCAGGAGTGACCGCTCCTGTTGTGAGAGAATTGGCCGTCTGCAAGGACGTTGCCCAGGGGACGCCCGGATGATTTGATGTTCTATCATCCTTGTGGGAGGCTTCTCTCATGTCCCCGCATGAGGAGCTGGAGCTGATAGAGGGAGCTCATCCGCCTCTCCCCGGATTTGAACCTGCAGCCTGTCGGTCTTCAGTCCTGTCACAGGGCTTTAACCCACTGCGCCACCGGGGGGGAAAAAAAAAGCTGCATTAAAATCATTACTCACCAAAAGGTCATGAGTTCGAAGCCAGCCCAGCTCAGAGTAACCTCCTGACCATTTGTTTAGCTTGCTGTCGACCTTTGCAGCCTGAAAGACAGTTGCATCTCTCAAGTAAGAAATTTAGGTACCGCTTATGCGGGGAATCTAATTTGACTAATTTACGACGCCATAAAACTCTCCAGCAGCGTGCAAAAGAATGAGGAAGTACTCAATCGGTGTCACAAGTGGATGGTGAAGCGACAGCTCCCCCTGTGGCCGGAATTCAAAAAGCATACCCTCATGAAGCTGGAAAGTTAAATAGCCTCTATGTGTCTGTCTATATATGTTGTGTGTCTATGGCATTGAATGTTTGCCATGTATATGTACATTGTGACCCGCCCTGAGTACCCTGCAGGGTGAGAAGGGTGGAATATAAATAATGTCAATAAATATGTTATGGTTTGACAAGGACTTTAGACCACTCTGCCAAGGACTGTTGGTGGATTACCAAACTATGACTCACAGCATTCCACAGCATTGAATCATGGCAGCTAAAGTGATGTCAAACTGCATTCATTCTAAGTGTAGATGCATCCAATGAAGACTGAGATTCAATGGCATCAGCCTACCATCTCCTTAGCATACTGTAAATACTGATATAGAGATATGAGGCATGAGAGTACTAAACTACAGTAGTCTATGTGAGCTAGGCAAAACTATGGTTAGGTGGATCTGTAATTGGTTAAGCGGACGAACCCAGAGGGTGATTCTCCCCAAGGCTTCCTCTTCATCCTGGAAAGAAGTGACGAGCGGAATGCCATCAGCAGGGTTCCGTCCTGGGCCCCGTCCTGCTCAGGATCTTTATTAATCATGTTTAGCCTGAAGAAGAGAAGGCTGAGGGGAGACATGATGAGGGCCATGTATCAACATGTGAGGGGAAGTCATAGGGAGGAGGGAACAAGCTTGTTTTCTGCTGCCCTGGAGACTAGGACGCAATGAAGCAATGGCTTCAAACTACAAAAAAGGAGATTCCACCTGAACATGAGGAAGAACTTCCTGACTGTGAGAGCCGTTCAGCAGTGGAACTCTCTGCCCCGGAGTGTGGTGGGGGCTCCTTTTTTGGAAGCTTTTAAACAGAGGCTGGATGGCCAATTTTCCTGCTTCTTGGAAGAATGGGGTTGGACTGGATGGCTCATGAGGTCTCCTCCAACTCTATGATTCTATATAATCTCCTAATTTAAGATGAAGAGGAAGCATTGGGGAGAAGCACCCTCTGGGTTCGTCCATTTAACCAATTACAGATCCACCTCACCATAGTTTTGCCTAGCCCACATTGGGCTAGTTTCCTTGCCAGAAGGTCATGGGGGACCTTGTCAAGGCCTTACTGAAATCCAGGTACGCTACATCCACGGCATTCCCCGCATCTACCCAGCTTGTAACTCTATCGAAAAAAGAGATCAGATTAGTCTGGCATGACTTGTTTTTGATAAATCCATGTTGACTATTAGCGATGACCGCATTTGTTTCTAAGTGTTTGCAGACCACTTCCTTAACAATCTTTTCCAGAATCTTGCCGTATCGACGTGAGGCTGACCGGACGGTAGTTGTTTGGGTCATCCTTTTTTCCCTTCTTGAAGATTGGGACCACATTGGCCCTCCTCCAATCTGCTGGAACTTCTCCCGTTCTCCAAGAACTCTCAAAGATGGTTGCCAAGGGTTCCGAAATGACTTCCGCTAGTTCCTTCAATACTCTGGGGTGTAGTTGATCTGGCCCTGGGGACTTGAACTCATTTAGAGTGGCCAGGTATTCCTGTACGACTTGTTTCCCAATTTGGGGTTGGATGTCCTCTAATCCCTCATCCACTCCATCTTGCTGAGGTTGAAGATGACTTTCTTTTTGTGAGAAGACCGAGGCAAAGAAGGTATTAAGTAATTCTGCCTTTTCCCTATCCCCTGTCAGCGTTGCCCCATTGTGGGAGTTGAAGTCAAGAACACTTGAGGGTGGGGCTGAAGTTGGCCTAAGCCTGCTATAAACCCAGGATTGTATAACAGCAAGTGGTTCAAAGTGGTACCAATCTACATGGATTCTCCAGTGTAGATGTACCCCTCGTCTTGTTATTTGGCATTCGGTATTGACCTCCAAGAACGCTCCAGGACAGTTTAATGTTTAGCACCAGCCAGATGCCAGTTCTTTCATGTGAAAGGAATTTTGCCAGACCAGGTCAATGTTTAACCGGTCTTACTAAGCGTGGAAGTGGGGAAAGTTGTACAGGAGTTACTATGGAAATAGGAGGCCGATTGGGCTCTTTGAATGTGAAAAATATTAGTGGAGAACTTTCATAGGAAAGTTGGGAAGAAGAAACTAATGGATAGATAGGTGGCTGCGGTTACCTTTTCCAACACTTGCTTTTTTTCTTGAGTATGGATTCGGCATTTTAAATCTCATCTAGGAAACCTTTCAAATACAACACCTTTGCATCAAGACTGATTCAATCAGAGGATTGAAATGCACCTTGTTTTGATCCATAGTGATTCTGGCTCTTTTTCCCTTTGCGAGTGACTCGAAGTAACTCAAGAAGATGGGTTCGAGTTCTTCGAAGGGTCGTCGGAAGGTGACCAAAGTGGCCCCAGTGCCAAGCAAAGGGGAAAGGCTGGCGCCGCAAGGCACGGTGGCTGTGTACCGTTTCCATAATGCTTTGCAAGAGACAAACCCGAACGTATTTGCTTCCTCACCTGGGAGGAATCTAATACTGGAGAGGCAGCTTCCGCCACTGAGAGAGACCTGGCAAGGAAGGTATCCTGCAGGTAAATACATCATTTCTGCTTCTTTGGCTCTATAGCAGGCGTGGGCCAACTTGGGCCCTCCAGGTGTTTTGGACTTCAACTCCCACAACTCCCAACAGCCGGTAGGCTGTTAGGAATTGCGGGAGTTGAAGTCCAAAACACCTGGAGGGCCCAAGTTGGCCCACGCCTGGTCTGTGGTTGAGTTTCCACGATATTGGGTGGGATGTAAATATTTCAATCTCTCTATCATAAAACTCCTAGTCACACAGAGTTTTCAAAGACTATCATGTGATATGAAAAGAAGCTGGAGCTTGGGAAAATTTCTTTTTTGGGACTACATTTCCCCAGGTATTTGCCTTATTAGATGCAGAATTTTTAGTCCTAAAGAGAAGAGGAGTTTCTCAAGAGAATCATATAATGGGGCAACGATTGAAACATATCAAACCAGTGGAAAGCCATCATGGTTGTGCTTTAATAAGGCACCAGAAGTAACATTATATTAGAGCAGCCACTCTAATATGACACTGGGGTTAATGTTCTTCTGTCTCTTGCAAGCCGCAGAAACCCCATCTGCACTGCCATATAATGTATGAGGGTTGAATGAAAAGTAATGCCTCCACCTTCGTAACTCCTCGACAGATGGCAGTACTTGTATGTGGCAGGTACTGGCTTGTTCAGTAGACTCTCCTCTACATTTTGGCAGGAAGCCTTAGCATTGAGTGGTTGTGTTGTTAAAGTGCTAAGTATGGAAACCTGCTCAGATGGTCATTCAATGCAACTTAAGCAACGTGCAGTCATTGAATTCTTGACAGCAGAAGGTGTCACCCCAAAGGAGATTCATCAGAGAATGCAAGCAGTTTGTGGTGATTGTGTTGATGTGAGTACTGTAGTTTGTTGGGCGAGTAAGTTTAAAGATGTTGAGGTGGGAACATCTGACTTGCGTGACAAAGAAAGAGTTGGACGTCCTGTGACAACAATCACTGAGTTTCACAAGCAAAAGGTTGACAGATTGATTCAGGATGATTGTTGTAACACTCAGAGAGAAATTTCAAGCATAATCGGCATTTCACAAGAAAGATCTGTGCACAATGGGTTGCGGAAACAGAGTGTCGACTTCTTCCATGACAGCTTCAGAAAACTTGTCCATCGTTGGCAGAAATGTATCCAATTGTCTGGTGATTAATGTATTGTCGAGGGCTTTCATGGCCAGAATCACTGGGTTGTTGTAGGTTTTTCCGGGCTATATGGCCATATTCTAGAGGCATTCTCTCCTGACGTTTCGTCTGCATCTAGGGCAAGCATCCTCAGAGGTTGTGAGGTCTCAGAGGTTGTCTGGTGATTATTTGGAAAAGTGAATAGTGGTAGTTAAACACAGCACATACTAAGGATTATTTCTGCGTTTGATTTATTAAAATATTCCCATCAAAACCCAAGTAATGAAGGGGGAGGCATTACTTTTCATTCAACCCTCGTAGTTGGACTCATTATATGAGGCCCCATCTACACTGATGATGTAATGCAGCTCGAACTTCATTATTTGTTCAGCATAGACTCACATAACGTAATTTAACTGCTGGGTTGCTGTGAGTTATGGCCATGTTCCAAAAGCATTCTCTCCTGATGTTTCTCCCCCATCTGTGGCAGGCATCCTCAGAGGTTGTGAGGTCTGTTGAAAACTAGACAAGTGGGGTTTATATATCTGTGGAATAATGTCCAGGGTGGGAGAAAGAACTCTTGTCTGCTGGAGGCAAGTGTGAATGCTGCAATTGAGCACCTTGAATAGCATTGGATAGCCTTGCAGCTTCAAGGCTTGGCTACTTCCTGCCTGGGACATCCTTTGTTGGGAGGTGTTAGGCAGGAAGCAGCCAGGCAGGGCAAAAGTATGATAGCTGGGACCCTACGCTAATAGCTGGGAGCCTATGCTGGTTGCGCAATGCTGGGCATAATTAATGAAGGGAAGATGTGTGCAACGCAGGTGAGAAAAGGGGGGAGGGGACAGAAAGGGGGGGGGACAACAAACAGCCAAGCATACTTCTTAAGGCGAGTAAAGTAATGTTAGAGTTATTTACCGTTAAATTATAAACAACGGCTTACGAAGACGGTAAACAGGATATAAATGTTTCTTCTTCCCCTTTCTGGCGAACAATGTTCCCAGGACTCTGACGCAGCTGCGTCTCTCACTCGCTCCACTGTCTTGCGCACCTCTTCCCTTCCTTAATTCAGAGCCACGTTAAGCAACTAGTGTAGTTTTATTGTTTACTGTTATTGCTTTAATGTTTTTGATTTGCTTTGGTGTATATGTAATTGTTATATTGTTGTTTTATTGTGGCCTTGGCCTTTGTAAGCCGCATCGAGTCCTTCAGGAGATGCTAGTGGGGTACAAATAAAGATGATAATAATAATAATAATAATAATAATAATAATAATAATAATAATAATAGTGTTGGGTCCCAGCTATCATACTTTTGCCCCAGGCAGGAAGCAATCAGGATTTGAAGCTGCAAGGCCTTTGTTGGGAGGTGATTAGCTGGCCCTGGTTGTTTCTTGTTTGGAAATCCCATGTTTTTGAGTGTTGCTCTTTCTTTACTGACCTGATTTTAGAGTTTTTTTAAAATGCTATTAGCCAGATTTTGTTCATTTTCATGGTTTCCTAATTTAACTGCATTGAACTGCATTATGTGAGTCCACACTGATCATATAATGGGGTTGCAAACTTTATTATATGACTGTAGAGATGGATCCAGAGTAAAACAGGGCCAAGGGTGCACCTACACTGTAGAATTAATGCAGTTTGACACCACCTTAATTGCCATTGTTCAGTGCTATGGAATACTGGGAGTTGTAGTTTGGGGAGGTTCCCAGCACTCTTTGGTACAAAAGATGGAGGTAATATTAAACTACAACTCCCAGGATTGCATAGCATTGAGCCAAGGCTGCTAAAATGGTGTCAAACTGCATTTGTTGATGTTCATTAGATCAACCGCTCAATGGATCCAGCACACTTTGGGATCAGATTTCTTAACATTCCTATGCATTTGCCTGACGGTATAGCAGATATTTTCTTGATTTTTTTTTTTAAATGACCAATTTAGCTCAGGATATAACTCTGCTTGGATCACCTTTCTGTAGTTTGCAGTCTTCTGAATAGAAAAGGAAATGTAATTCCGTTTTGAGAGGAGATGCGGTGTATGACTCGGAAGATGCTGCAGAGAATACAAATGAAGGCTGGGCTTTTCGGCAACACATCTCGAGCATTTCCTGACCACAACAGTGCTTACATAAACACCTGGTTTTGGCAAAGGGGATAGAACAGGAATGCTGCCAGGTATTAGGAAAACACGTCTCCTCTCTGCAACACAAACACATTTTTCGATTTTTGCACAGCCATTTTCAGACTATCTGTGCCATAGCAGCTTATTTGTTAAAGCGCCAAGTGGTGACAACTTACTGAAATTCGTCAGTGGCAGCGTATCAGTTCTGGGTTTTAGTCTGAACTTTAAAAAAAAACTGTCCAAGGGATAGGGCTTGTTTTTGGGTAGGCCTCTCCAAGCTAAACATTTTCCTCTCCAAGCTAAACATTTTCCTCTCCAAGCTAAACATTACCATCTCCTTGAGGGAGCTGGGGGTGGTAACGGCCGACAGGGAGCTCTGGCGTGGGCTGGTCCATGAGGTCACGAAGAGTCGGAGACGACTGAACGAGTGAACAACAACATGGCAACAAGAATGATTGACAACTGGAAAATAGAGGGAGAAAATGTGGAGGCCGTGACAGACTTTGTATTTCTAGGCGCAAAGGTTACTGCAGATGCAGACTGTGGCCAGGAAATCAGAAGACGCTTCCTTCTTGGGAGGAGAGCAATGTCCAATCTCGACAAAATAGTAAAGAGTAGAGACATCACACTGGCAGCCAAGATCCGCCTAGTCAAAGCCGTAGTATTCCCTGTAGTAACCTACGGATGTGAGAGCTGGACCTTAGGGAAGGCTGAGCGAAGGAAGATCGATGTTTTTGAACTGTGGTGTTGGAAGAAAGTTCTGAGAGTGCCTTGGACTGCGAGAAGATCCAACCAGTCCATCCTCCAGGAAATAAAGCCCGACTGCTCATTGGAGGGAAGGATACTAGAGACAAAGTTGAAGTACTTTGGCCACATCATGAGGAGACAGCAAAGCCTGAGAAGACAATTATGCTGGGGAAAATGGAAGGTAAAAGGAAGAGGGGCCGACCAAGGGCTGTCTCCTCATGATGTGGCCAAAGTACTTCAACTTTGTCTCTAGTATCCTTCCCTCCAGTGAGCTGTCAGGCTTTCTTAACATTTCTTAACATCAGAACTTTCCTCCAACACCACAGTTCAAAAGCATCTCTCTTCCTTCGTTCAGCCTTCCCTAAGGTCCAGCTCTCACATCTGTAGGTGACTGGGGAATACCATTGCTTTAACTATGCGGATCTTTGTTGCCAGTGTGATGTCTCTAATCTTCACTATTTTATCAAGCTTGGTCATTGCTCTCCTCCCAAGAAGTAAGTGTCTTCTGATTTCCTGGCCACAGTCTGCATCTGCAGTAATCTTTGCACCTAGAAATACAAAGTCTGTCACTGCCTCCACGTTTTCTCCCTCTATTTCCCAGTTGTCAATCGTTCTTGTTGCCATAATCTTGGTTTGATATGATAGCCATGTATAAATATGTGAGAGGAAGCCACAGGGAGGAGGGAGCAAGCTTGTTTTCTGCTTCCCTGGAGACTACGACACAAAACAATGGCTTCAAACTACAAGAAAGGATATTCCATCTGAACATGAGGAAGAACTTCCTGACTGTGAGAGCCGTTCAGCAGTGGAACTCTCTGCCCCAGAGTGTGGTGGAGGCTCCATCTTGGGAAGCTTTTAAACAGAGGCTGGATGGCCATTTGTCAGGGGTGATTTGAATGCAATATTCCTGCTTCTTGGCAGGGGGTTGGACTGGATGGCCCATGAGGTCTCTTCCAACTCTTTGATTCTATGATTCTATATTAATTGTTATTATTATTATAA